CCCACATGGAAGAAACACACCAGCCTATGTGATCATGAGGTGTCAGTGGGATCAGGTATCAGGCATCTGAGACCCAGAATAAAACCATACACAAGGCAATTGATGTATGTACGGATTGTGATAAGAGTTATATAAGTCCCCAATAAAATTATTTTTTTAAAAAAAACATACACAAGGTGAATGGGGGGTGGGGGTGGGCATGGAGTGGAGACCCAATGCCCATCTTTAGACAATTGGACATGACTTCACACAGGGGTCACAGTGAAGAGATGAGCCAGTCAGGATGCAGTATAGCACCGATGAAACACACAGCTTTCCTCTAGTTCTTTGATGCTTCCTTCACCCCACTATCATGACCTCAATTCTACCTTACAAATCTAATTAGATCTGAGCATGCACACTGCTACATATAAGAGCCTGTAACACAGGGATTCCAGGATAGATAAACCCCTCAGGGCCAATAAGGAGAGTAGAGATACCAGGAGGATTAGGGAAGGGTGAGGTGAGAAAAGAGAAATTGATCACAAGGATCAAGCTAGAACCCCAGGATGAATAACGGAAAAGTGGGTGAGGGGCAATGGAGCACAATGTAAGATATGGAAAAAATAATCTATAACCCATCAAGAGTTTTTGAGGGAGGGTGGGTGGTAGAGGTAGTGGGGAGAAATTGAGGGCTGATATCAGGGGCTCAAGTGAGGAGAGAATGCTTTGAAAATCTTGATAGCAGCATATGTGCAAATGTGCTTGACACATTAGAGGAATGTATGGATTGTGTTAAGAGATGGAAGAGCCCCCCAATAAAAGTATTTTTTAAATTAAAAAATAATAAAAATTTTAAAAATAAAATAAAGCAAACTTATTTGCTATGAGGCAAATAAATAAAGGCATAAAGAATGAGTAAAGCAAAAAAATTATATTAATCAAATTCTTTGGGTTATGTATAATATACTTGCCTCCAGATGTAAATGTAGAAATGTACATATCTTTTATCAGAAGACCATTAGTGCTTTCAGCTATTCAAGTGTAATGTGTTTAGATATATTTTAATATTTTAGGTTTGTCTAAAATACAATTTCCTCTCTAACCTGTATATATTTTACTTTTAGATGATTGCAGTAGCAGTTAAGCTGTGCAAAAATTTACTAATAACTTAATACTAGTTTGTACTCTTCTTTGAACTCTCAATGTTACTGTTACATTATTTTGAACCCCTTTGACTTTTTTATGTTACACAAGAACATACATAGTTCAATGTTTGATTGCTATGACAGAAATTAAATAAGTTGTTGTTAGGTGCCATGGAGTGGTTCCGTTCCACAGTGACTCTCCGCACAGCAGAACGAAACGCTGTCCGGCCCGGAGCTATTCTCCCAATTGTTCCTCTGCCTGGATAGTATGTCATCTATGCTTTTATACTTTATAGGAAAATGGTTCTCCTGAAGAGCATGCCATTTATGTGTGGGACCATTTCATATCACAGGCCGCCGCTGAGAATGTATTTTTTGTGGCTCACAGCTATGGAGGACTTGCTTTTGTTGAACTGGTAAGTACACGTTCAACTTTATTTTTAATTCTTACAAGGTTAGCCTTACTCCCTTTGTGTTGCTTTCATGATTTTCAATGATCTTATAAAGGATTAAAATATAATAGTTTTGGTAAATAATTTCATAACTATTGAATTGTGTGATATGTAAATTAGAGGACAATAAAACTGTTTAAAATTTTTTAATAAAATAAAAAGAATGCACTGACTGTTATTTTGTATGGTAGCAGAGCTTTTCAGTGGCTATTAACCATAAAGTGTTGTGTCTGCTCTTTATTTACATATTATTTTCAATTTCTATGTTTCAAAGCCACTGCCATACATTTCATGATATTTATGTTCCATGTGTATACCATGGAGGCATACATTATCTGCAAAGTGTTTGGAAAGTCAATGCAAATCTTTGAGACTATTTTGGTAATTCTAAACTGACTCTTATCTCCATGGGTTGGTTGGTGCTTGATAAATACAAGTAGTGTTAAAACTCTCAGAAAGCTTCCATTAGTCTCTGTCTCAATGGAATGTGTTGCTTGACCAAAATCAAGAAGGATTTGCATTTTAAAATAGTTTGAGTAAAGAAAAGAGTATACAAATAATAGAAATATTATCAAGATGTCCAAATCTTGAGTATCCTGAATTTTCTGAAATACATTTTTGCAACAGTCACAATCTTGTATCAACATGGTTCATGCCGCCATGCCCGTAACTTCTTATATTGAAGGAAGGCTCCACTACCATAATCAAATGATCAGTTTCAGAAAGTGTATTTGATTCTTGTAACTCCACATAGGTCAAAGTGAACATTAAAATCAGGCATGTCACTGGTTTTCTAATTTTTATGTCTCTGGGTTTGGGGTGTATCACTCTTTGTCATGGAAATTAAATCTATTTCTATGGCCTTTCAACCTCCTAGCTCTTCTTGCTTACCCACATGATTTAGATATGAAGCTGACAATGGCTCTTGAGTCCTGAGGATAGGTTAGCAGATCTCTGCCTACAATTGCTTTTGCCATCTGCGGTTCTGGAAATAACTTAAAATGTTTATTTCTCCAGTTGATTTGAGTTTATAGGAATTCTTTCAAGTGCATTTATATACTTATATATTTTAGTATATAATTAGAATATCTTAGGAAAGCTTTTTAATGCATGGGTATACATGATTTTTAAAAGGTGAATCTTGTCTTTCAAATCATTGTTTCTAGCCATTATTGATTTATATAGCCCAATTTTTCTCCCTTTATACACCATTGGATTTCTTAAAATGTGAAATTTCATTGACTTGGAGAGTAACTTGAAGTTTATCGGTAAGCCTGCAAGCCGAATCAAATTTCAGACCTCTGTAAAACATGAATTCCCATCTTTCCCTTTAAGATAGCTTTTAGACATCTTTTGTGTACCAAACTTGGAATGTAAGTGGATTTGGGACCATTTTATAAATGGACTTGGGGTGCCAGGGTAACAGATGACCAGTGTGTCAGTCCTATTTTGCCTGTCCTTCTTGTCACACACTGGTGGGTATTTCTCCACTTTGGTTCCACTTTAATATAAAGCACACAGATGTTTCAGAACAAGACTTGACTTCTGACCTTGAGGCTCTTAGGGTCAGGGTCCTCAGGGCCTGTGAAATTATCACAAGCTGAGCTAAAGTTTTTCTCCATCGCAGGAAGTAGCCAGTAAGTAAGAAGTTAAAAAGGAGCTTTGTCAGAAAGACAAGATGGTCTCCGTAGGGTCTGCTTCTGTAGTCTGCTCTCTCTGCAGGAGGGGCACGCATGGGAGGAGGAATATAATAGAACCACTGGCACTTCACATATCTGTCAGGCAACACCAGGCTGAGGAGTCTATTTAATGTAATATACCTTGTTTATGCTTTCAAATATTAATCGCGAGGAATTCAACTTGTACATTTGCTGTTTTATTCTGCACTATGGACCAAGCATAGAGATGGTAGCAACTGGAAAGAGGGTTGTTCTTGTCCTAGTAAAATAGATTCCTCTAAACAACACTACACAGTGTTGAGTTTCACATTACATTTTTTTACAAAGCTTGATTAACATTTTTAAAGCCTTTAACCTTCTATTTGCTTTTAAAGGTCTTTCAAAATAGCATTTTTAAAGAAAACAGTCCAAAAAAAGCTGAAATATTTGTAAACCAAACGCTGTTGCCTCAAACTGGATAATATGCATTTCTGTTCTTCCCTGTATTAGTAGGGAGAAATTATGCTTAAACTGCTGAGAAAGTTGTATTCTCTCGGGATTTTTCAGCAGATTTGTAATATATGAAATTATTTTACATGCATTCAAAAGTTCAATATAACTTTATATGAGTGAATTATAAAGATTCATATCAAAATTTTACATTTTCTTTTAGCTTTTAGTCTAAGCAGTACATTATATATGTCAAACATTAAGACCTTTGGATTTCAGTAAAATTTCCTTTTTAAAATTATCTTTAAAATGTTTGTTCCTGTACACACACACACACACTTCCTATGAAATAGCTTTAATTTGTAGCATTTTATTGGAATGCATGTACATTGTTTTTCTGTAATCATAATACAAGTCTACATGCTTTTCTAGATCATAAATTTCAGCAAAATTTAGATGTAAACTGTGGCAAGTATAGTTTCATCAATAAATATAATGATCGTAGTACTTATTGTTTGGATTATAGGAACCAATCAGAACCCATTTGGAAAGCATTTAACATTTACTAACTTATAATTGTATATAATTGTAGCTTAAATTAAATGTGCTGCTTTTAAATATATGAAGATAAATTATTTTTAAATTTATACCACAGAGTTGTAGAATTTTTTTGCTAATATTTTTTGAAAACGAAGAATATAATTTATGATTATCTTAAAGTGTTGAATTTCTTCTGGAAGAATACATCACAGTCCAAGATTTATTTTCAAAACCAATGTTCATTTTATGGTAATGAATCTTGGAACTCAATCATAAAAACGACATACATTATGTAGTTTACTGAAGTAGTGAGAAAGACTATTACAAAAAAAAAGCCTTTTATGCTTTTATTTTCTTCATATGGTATACTGAGATTTCTAATCCTAAACTTCCTGTGCTCCTAATAAAAATAGGGGTTGATAAGATAGTTTTCATAGCGTTGTAACATTCAGTAATTAAAGAGTAAAGGGGAGGACTATTTATTTCATGAATTAGTAATAAATTTTTGCACACGTGTTCTGTTTTCTTTTCTTTATATTAAAACAATGTCAATACATAAAGTTTTACTATCAAATCTTTTTAAGAAGAGTTCAATTTCTGTCTTAGAAATTGTTTTATTCTTAATAAATTTAGGAGTCGTAGAATGCATTCACCCAATTTCTTTGAAAAGATATCTAAAAATAATGCAACGTATTCTTGCCTTATATAAACAAGAAACTCCACTATTTGAGTTGTTTCCAACGTCATAGTGACCCCATGTGGGAAATTCAGACATGTTTGTTAGAAATTAACTCTGACTATCAAACAATGCAGCTTGGAGTTTTTCCTCATCTCCTTCTCCAGCCCCGTGGGTGACATGGTTCCATGACTTTATTTTCGGACTTTGCAGGGTGCTTGGCTCCAGTCTTTCCAAGTGGTGATCAATTTGACAAAGCCAACTAACTTAACATTAGCTCTTGTTTGGAAATGAATTGGAGTTCCTTGCCAGTGCTGTTTCCCATCTCAGCTCACCTTACCTTCTCTGTTTGCAGACTCAATCATCAATTTGCTTTTAGAGTTCTCTCTTTAGCCAAAGTGAGAGTCCTCATATTTTTTAGAAAACATATTAAACCATTTAGTAAGCACATGGCCTTCGTTTATCGAACCAGCTCAGCTAATATAAAATTAGCATTTTCTTATTGCTTTCATTGCCTTTTCCATGTTCCTAATGATATGTTCACAAACATCATTAAAAACATCACTTAGGAATGTGTGAAAACTGCTTCTTTTGAAAGTGTGTCTCTACCACTTTTGATTTTAGTTTCTCCATGCTTGTCAGCACTTGATGGGCACCTCACTTGCATGTGAATTACGGCATGAAGGGAACTCTGTTTTCCTGCTATTGTTTCCTGCTGCGCTCCCTGGCCTCTGGGCAGCCGAACCTGCCCTTCAGCAGCTGATAGAGGAGTTCAGGGACATAGCTGTTTGGGGACACTCACCCCCAGTCTACATTGAGTACATCTTTTAAAATTGCCTGGAGCACGATTTGGATTTCCAGTGAAGAGAAAATGGAATATAGCTAAAAGAATTCATTTTTCACCTTTAGTGACATCAGCAAACCCTGGCCTTAAAGAGGCATCGTTTACATTTATGTCTACAAAGAACAAAGTAAATTGGGTGTTGGCAGACTATCTGTTTAATATGATCAATGGAAATAGCTGGAATCCACTTTAAATTCCACTTTAAAAATGAAAGTGTGGTAACAAGACCTGCATTGCAGGTGAGGATGCGCAGGGAGACAGACAGTGGCAACTTGCTCTTTTTTGAGGGTAGTGTGGGACAGGGGCAGCAAACTTTTGAGATGGAAGAGCCAATCCTGTCCCTCACAGCAATTTAAAAATCATTTGAGAGCCATACATATTTTTACAAACAAATGAAAACACCAGTGTCTGACTAATAGCCTTAAAAATGTCTACATTTTACTTCACGTGAACTCACTGAAGGAGCTACCTATGGCCCCGGAGCCACAGTGTGCTGACCCCTGTCATGAGGGAACCAAGGTGGACTCCTAAGAATTAAGACTTGAGGGGAAGTTGAAATACGGGAAGGAGCTGTGATGGCACAGTGATGATGTGCTTGGCTGGTAACCAAAATGTTGGTAGTTCAAACCCACCAGCAGCCCCATGGGAAAAAAAGGTTGCCGTCTGGTTCTGTAAACATTGCAGGCTTAGAAACCTTATGAAGCAATTCTACTCTGTCATATTACGTTGTTATGAATTTAATCCGACTCAGTAGCCGTGGGTCTGAGTAGTATTAGAATAATGGAGAATAAGCCAG